ATATATATATATATATATAGGTATATATATATATATATATATATATATATATATATACATATACACGGAACTAACTGGGATATTGAGTGAGGAAATATCCCTATTATATTGGCATTATTAAGGAAGGTGGGAGAAATTATTGGGTAGGGGTTTTTATAATTTTTGAAGGGTAGTATTGGAATTAAAACTTCTAGGGGATTATCACAAAGGAAGATTTAAGGGTTGGACATATCACCATTTATTATTGATCCAAGGGGTTTATTACTAAAGGCCCCAAAAAATAAAGTGCATAATGGGTGGTTGACTTTGGAGACGACTTGCATTAAAGGAAACTCCAACTAAATCCAACTAATTTGTGGTTGTGTCGAAATCAAGCACAAAAATTCAAACCCTTAATTAAATTAAAAACCATAATCCACATTTAGTGCCACATTATGAGTGCCACTACGCCTTAACCATGTCACTACCTTAATTTTGTTGGCATACATAATTCAGGTTCTTGAGATCGTACACTTGGTGAAATATATTATGTGGTTTTAATTCGTAAATCTATATAAATAACTATACACCAAGCACAGTACACATGAGTATGTGTGTGTGTGTTATTATGTGTATATCAATGACGTAAAATCACATAGTGTATTTCATCAGGTGTAAGTTCTACAAAACCCGTGATTCATTTACATTTATCTAATTAAGTGTACAATATCTTATTATTCTCTCTAATTATCAAATAAAATCCAAAAAAAAATATAGTTAATCTTTGATTATAGTATAATATACAATTTTATTTTATTTATTTTTTGGTAGGAAAAAAAAAAGAGGGAGAAAAGGAAAAAAGGTGGGGTGGGCACCACAAAAGTTTGGCGGGCGAATTTTCTCTTTAGTATTTGGCAGCATATAAGAAATGCTCTTTTGTTCACAAAATAGGGAGAAAGAAAGACAAAATGATACGTGCAGGACAAGTAAAATACAAATACTAATAATACTGAATAATTTTTTAAAGTTGTTAAAAACAAGAAACTGGATCTTACTTATAAGTTATAATAAATATACAACTTCCTTAAATAATATACATAAAAAAGTGCATTATAATACAAAATGATTACTCTTTATTTTCAAATAATATACTTTTTAAGGTTTCAGTGTGCATGTAACAACTTATCAAATCTTAAAATAACTTATCAGATGTAAGAGTTTATCAGTTGTTTAAAGTAAGATTAGTCAAACGGATGATCGATATATGATTTAGGAGTAATATTTTACCTTAGAATTGGAGTTATATATGTATTTTAAAGTGTTACATAACATGGAACACAATATTTTATTTATTTATTTGAATCTAAATGACAGATAATTTGCAAAGAAGGATTATAAAAATTGGATACAAGATTACAATAAATGGAACAAAATGTGCACGAAAATATCACTACTTAAGAGAGAAAGAGACATAGTGCATGACAAGAGATCCATGTTTATAGGGTTTGATCTAATTAGTTTAAGACATTTAAGGAAGGGGGGGTGGGGGCCCCCACATTGTAGATTACCTATAAACAAAACACATATGATTAATGTTACATGTAAGTAGAAGATAGTTGGTGGAGAATGGAATGTTGAGGTAATAAAGGTATATACTACTTGACAACAACTAACATTTCTTTGTCCTTAATTCTCCATTTACCCAAGGAGATTAATGTTTGTCCTTTTCCTCTTTTTTTTTTTAAATAAAATTTATAATATCCTAGAGGAAATTAAATTACAATAATAAAAATCTAAGCTACATATTGAGAAACTATTTATTCTACACTACACCAAATACATTATCATCATTCAATCACACAATGGCGGATTCAGAATATGACTGGGGTCCATCAGTGGCGGAGTCAATATAGGTTCGTAGGGGCCATGGCCCCCCATCATTTCTCAAATTCCACTATTTTGTGTTGAAATATTAAAAAGTTCGAGTATAATAGCATTAACGGCTCATCCAGGGTTTAAATTATGGCTCTGCTAGTTCAGTCACGTACAAAAACGTACACATTTATATTGGTGAAAATCCGACAAATCGGATCGAAATCTAACATAGAAAAGACCAATTATTGGATCGGAAACAATTGAAATCGAGAATTTCGTTCCAATTTCTACCATAATCGCATACTTTACCAAGTGTGAACAAATGCAAGACATGGGCTCTAAGTTAGACAACTGTAAAATGTTGTTAGGCTTTGGCAAACTAATTAGGGTGAAAAATTGCATGTGAGAAAGTTTGACCTTAATTTTGTCAAACCACCAACAATATTATTCTACTACTTAAATAACATGCTACTTTCTAACTAAATCATATTAACTAAAGCTAACCAGAATTACATTAATTAATTAATATAGAATAGAATTTAAAAAGGTCATAAGAAAATATAAATAATCCTGTTAATTTTCCACTTAATCCACCAGTAATCCCAGACTTGCGTTGACTGATTATAATCAATTTGGATAATTCTATTTTAAAGATTTTATAAATTAATATTTCCATTTTTCTATGGCTGAAGAAAAGGGAAAAAGAATTAATTGTATTCGCACTTCATATTTTGCTAAAAATCCACTCCAAATATATATATATATAATATTTAATAAAGAGTATTACTGATCTAAGTGTGGACAGCAAAATCAAGAGTTTCTGTGGGAATTAACAAAATTAAGAAAAAATAAAAAATGAAATTATGTGCCGAAGTTACCAAATTACCCCTAAGGGTTTGGAGAATTTACATTTTAGACTCCGGAAAGCCACCGAAAGAGCTCACTGATTTCCTCTCCGACACGGTTCGCCTCCAGATCCTCGGCGGCGGCGACGGGGTCCGTCCGGCGACTGCTGCCGGAGAAGAATCTTCCCGAGCTCCTAAACGACATCGCACGGGACGAAATTGAGACGGAGGCCAGCCTGTCAACGTAATCCCTCAGCCAATTTCTCCCGCTGGATACCTCCGCCGCGAGAGCCTCGCCCGGCGGATCCGGCATCTGGATTCCGACGGACGATTCCTTGTCGGCGGAATTGCAATCGGAAATTCCCCTGCGATGTGCGACGGAACCCGCCGGAACCTCGTACCCGCTGTCGTCGACGATGTAATCGAAGGAGCCTATGGAGTACGACCGCCGCACTCCTGCTTCCACGGCCGCCTCCCCGGCCCCGCTTCCGCGGCGGCTGATGCTCCCGATTTCAATCCGGAAGCTGCCGCTTCGAAGACTGTTGCCGCCGTTTTCGGCGGAGAGTATTTTATCCAGTACGTCGGCGTCTGAGGGGACTACGGTGGACCTGCACAGGGGACACGTTTGGTTGGACACGATCCACGTGTCGATGCAGGCGGCGTGGAAGGCGTGGCAGCAGAGCGGCAGCAGGCGGAGCTGATCGTGCGGCTCGAACTTCGACAAACAGACGGCGCAATCGCCGCCGGTGAGGTTGCCGGTGACGGAGCGGAAGGTGAAAAGCGGCAGCGCGTCGAGCAAACTTGAAGCCGGCACGTGGCATTCCCGCTGCTGGCCGGAGATCCCGCCGGAGGAGTCGCGACGCAGGACGACGTCGTCGGCGGCGGAGTAGGTGCGGAAGGATCGGTGGAAGCGCTTGGAGAGGCAGCGGAGGAAGAGGTAGATGGAGGCGGAGACGATGACGGCGGACGCGATGATGATGATGACTATGACGACGGAGGACGAGGTGGCGCCTCCGGCGCCGTCGGAGTACGGCGGCGGAAGTTGCGAGGCGACGTCGGCGGGTGTCGCGAAGCCGCCGCCGATGACGGTGAGTGGCGGCGGAAAGGAAGATGACATTTGGGAAGAGGGAAGAAGGATCGGACCGGGGTTTTTAGAGAGAGAAAGGAAGAAAGGGAGGTTTTTAGAGAGAGAAGGGACTAAGACATTTCTAGAGAGAGAAAGAGAGATTGGGGATTGAGGGTAGGGGAGGTATTTATTAGTGTCACCGGTGGTGGAGTTAAGGGGGTTGCTATAATAAATGACGAATGAGCTCCTTTCCTTTGGGTGTTTTTGTTGAGGATGGATGACACGTGACTGGCACGTGTATTTACAATCCCATTATGCCTATGTGGTCTTGCTACACCCTCTACTAATGTACGGAACTTCTTACAACTTCACTGCGTGTTTTATATGTCCATGTAAAAGTGTGTGTAATTTGGATTAGGAGAAAAATCAGGGGTAAAAAAGCAATAAGGAGAAAGTTGATGAAAATGAAATTTGGGTTTTTTGCAAAACGTGCCCCTGTGAAATTTCCAACTGCAGAAAAAGTCCATCTATTATAAAATATCACTGGAACCTCCCAATGAGTTTTAGTCAATGGCACTTTTCTCCCCAGCTCGTGTTCGTGTTGTGCACTCGCGGCTGGTGAAGGAAATTTTAAGTGTAAGAGGACATAAATACCCCTCTTGGAACGCAAAATTTAAAATTAAATTACCCACAAATTTTGCTCTCTCCCCTCCTTTAGTCCCCTAAAATTCTGAAACTGTAAAATGTGAATGAAAAAATTATAAAACAAATATTGAAATTTCAAATGTTACAATTATATGTTTAAGTCTTTTTATATATTTTTTCTTTTTAATAATTGCATAATAAAGAGATACATAATATTAATAAAATTAAACACAAATGTTTTATAAAATTTTGCATTTATTCAAATTAGTTATATAGTATAAAAAAATCCAAAATAAAGAAATACATAATATTTGTAAATTAAATATACTTTATTAATTGCTAAAAATCCCAATAGTGGTATTAAAAATATAACATAAATTAAATAATAGTTAAAAAAAAAACTATATACTCCCTCATTCCCTTAATATTTGTCACTTTTGCCATTTTTTCACATTTCAAATTATTTGTCATTTTACTATTCCAATGAATAATTAATTGCAATCTTCCAATTTTGCCCTTCCTCACTCATAATTAATTGAAATATAATTATTTAAAAATTAATTAATGGCATGGGCATTTTAGTGATTTACTATACTTTTTGCTACTATCTATGCATATTTATTGAGTTTCTTAATATGCGTGCAACAAACAAAAGTGACAACTATTGAGGGAAGGAGGGAGTATCTTTCTAATTCCAAAAAAACCTAGGGTACTTCTGTCTTTTCTTTCGTGGTCAACGGGTATAACTGCAAGATGGGTCGAGTTTGTCAATTACAAAATTTTATAGGGGTTTCATTGATATTTGATAGCACAGGGACTTAGTTTGCAATTATGAATTTCACGGTGGTACTTTTTGCAAAAAACTCAATGAAATTTGGGGCCGAAAAGCAGTAAAAGAGGTGGAGCAGTGTGACAGTGGGGGCATTAATTGGATTTAGGCCAATGGGAATTAATTGGTGGGGCCTTCTTCTTCTTCTTTTTTTATTTTATAAATAAAAAATAAATAATAAATAATTAAAATATTTTAATTTTGGTTGGTTTTGGTTTTGGTCATTAATTGGTTCTGTTAACATGTTTTGGGTTTGGTTTCCCCATTTTGGTTCGGTTGAATTGAATAGTAATTTAATTTCGTTTTATTCTTTTCTTTTGGATCTTCATAGTCTCTTTATTTGGTTATGAGTAGAGTTAAAAACGAGCTGAGTCGGCTCGAAAAAAGCCAGACCTCGAATTCGAGTTTTTCGAGCTCGAGTTCACGAGCCTTCTTTTCTTTTTTTAGTCTTTAATATATTATTTTTTTAGTTTAGATAATATATAATAATAAATGTAATAATAATAATATAAAAAGAAAAAAAAAAACTCGATGAGCTCGAGCTCGACAAAATGGACCCGAGATCCAACTCTGCTCGTTCATTCCCCTATTTGTGAGTTAATTAATTATTTGTCCTCAAATTAGTGAAAATAAAAATAATAATTGATGCATCACTTGGAAGAAATTTATTCTATTCGGATTTTAGCGTAGATTTGACCTTTAGAAGGCAGTCAAGATTGACTAATAACTTCATTATCTTTTTATTTTTGTCATATTGAAATAAGTTGCCATATAAATTAATGTTATGAAAATTACATTTAATTCTTTGGTTATTTGTTGGATGATATTATCCCATTTTTATCTTTCCATTCAACTGGTTTTCATTTTTCAACATAATTTATCCATAATTACGTGGCTATTAGTCAACTCAACTAAATTTGATTGACAAAAAAAGTGGAGGATTGTGGACTAATATTAATAGTTAGTGCTAATTAATCCGGATTCTTAAACTTAATAATAGTAATAATAATAATTACTATTACTAATATTAATTAATTATGGAGGGGTCTCATTCATGTATATTTGGGTGCATCAAAGTGTATCTGCAGAAAATTGACTCTTCTCATCACTGTATAATTAGTACCAGTTTAGGTGATTGAAGTTGATAGCTTCTTAAACGCGGAAATTATAGTTTTTTTCCCTCAAGTTTGTATTTATTTCACATTTGACCCCTCGTGTTCACAAAAAATACATTTGGTACCTCATGTTTTAATAATCTAACACTTTTGGTCATCTCCATTAATTTACCGTTAGACAGTCAATTAAGATAGTGGTGGTCACATGCTTGATTCCGTTAGTTTTAACAGAAACTTGACGGAAAAGACTAAAAATGTTGATTTTTTCAAACATGAGGGGTCCAATGCGTTTTTTGTGAATATCGGGGACCAAATATGATATCAGTACAAACTTGGTGGATGAAAATTGTATTTTTTTCCATTCTTAAACATTCACTTGCTTTTTTTCTTTTTCTTTTTTTTTTTAACAAAAAGATACTTTTTCTTTACTAATTAACTAGCACCACAATTTCTGATTTTTTTTTATTATTGAGTTACATTAACAAACTCAACAAATGTAACTTAATTTTAGTTAAATCACATAAAAAATGACTAAAATAATCATCATTATTTAATGATTTATATGAGAGAGTTAATATTTAGAGTTGAATTAATTAGATTAAAATCAAGAAAAATATATGTTTAATGCCACGTTGGAAATGTAAAATAACAGATAATATAAAACGTAAATATTTTGCTAAACAAACATTTATTATTAGAACTAATTGGTAAAAATAATTGCATTAATTGATGCTATACGAATGAATTGAATTGTTGATGTGAATATAGGCACACTACATCATTTATGAACTTTAAGAATATTTAAGTGCATTCACAAGTTCGGTATATTACACTCAATTATCAACATGAATCTATAACCCTACATTTTAAATATTTTTAATTCGAATTCAATTCAATACGAACAATATTTTATACATCACAAATTCATGACTATATTTCGTTTCAGACGAAGACCCGTTGATTATTGCTCGTCTGCAACATAATTAAAAAAATTGCTTGATAACCGACCAAGTCAAGAGGAGATTGATATGATATTCAATATTCACTAAATTACGACGAACTCCTGAAGTATGACCAAATAACTCGTACATCGCATTAATAACCCTAACCGAATGAATAAATTATCTAATTTACCATCTTTTTTGTGGATGATTCCATAATAATCATTTTCATTTTTATGCATGGGAACTATATATATATATATATATATATATATATATATATATATATATATATATATATATATATATATATAGGTCAACACAAATTAAATGATTGTGGGCAAACGAAAAGTTGCACCATAATAAATTCTCCAAATTATACATTTGCTTGCATGCATGAACCTATAAAAAAGAATTGGATACATATTTGCAGAATAAGTAGATTAGAAGTTAACTGCAAAATTACTTATTTGCCATTTATTTATTTATTTTGCAAGTTTGACTTGGTTGGCCACTTTGGCTTTTCAAAAGTAACATAGATAAATTATTGGAGGCTGCAAAAATTACACAATTTTAAAAGTTAACTGCACCAAAATGAGAAAAAAGTTCAAACAAATTTGATCCTTTGCTCAAAGTTTGAGCTATTGTTCTTGTTACATGTAATGATTTTGTATGTTACTACATGCGAAGGTTGTTGTCGGCTGGGAATGAAGGCTGATCAACTTTTGTTTATGTTGCAACTCTCACAATATTTGTTCAAAGTTTGTGCTCACAAAGTGTTCGATAAAAAGCCTCTGAGAATAATTGTTGGTTAATCGTGTATATTAGTGCAACCCCATTAGGCCATCACTACTTCATAATCCTCGTTTTTAATAATATAATAATATTAATAATGTTAAGGTATATCATTACCCTCCAATCACAACCTCAATTATGTATATATAATGATATACTAATCACACATAGGTTCAATATTATACAATTTTTTTTATAGATACAGTGGCGGAGCCACCATACGGCCAAGAGGGGCCATGACCCCTCTAACATTTCTTAAATTCTTAATTTTATATATATTCGTATTAAAACTGTGTATACAAGCATTATCCAGCATTTCCTTAATGTTTTTAATGCATTCGGCCCCCGGACTTAATATCATAATCCCGCTGATGCTTACTGTCATATGTATTCATTAGTAGTAGGGCCAGTTACGGCCAACCCCTTAAAGTAACGCTAAATTACGACACTTCCCCTCCTGTTGGGTAATTACAACTACTTTTTCAACTATGTATTGTTTTACACACGTCTATTTTTATGGTGTCAAATTTATCTACTAAATGAGGGGTTTTTTCGTAAAAAAATACATATCTGAGGGGAATGATTGTAATTATTTAAATATAAAATGATTTTTTTTTTGTAATTTGACCTTAGCTTAAGAGGATGACCGTAATTTGCAATTATTAGTAATGAATTCGTTATCGAGACTTTTGAATATAAATGGTGAATTTAAATAGGAGTAATAATATATCATATTTTAATATGCTAATTTTCTAAATATATTATATTTTTTATAAATAATAAACAGAAACAAGCACGCATACTGTGTATGTAATGATATTGCTTTCTGTAAGAAGGTTGGCATGCTCTTAAAACTGCAGAAGCATATAACCACTCTTTCTTCAAGAAAAAATTGCCAGTGCCCAGACATATGTAACATTTTATTTTATTATTTGAAAATTAAAAGCATGCTTTAATTATAATTCTTTTGGTAGTAAATAAAATAGACTTGGTTCTTAGTAAGATTTCTGTCCCACACGCATCCCACTTTGATTCCACTAAATCTCTTGGTTTTATTTCAATTTTATTTTTTCGGGATAAAATTAGTATATATTTTATATGTGTTAAAATTAAAAAAATATATATATATATATGCTTAAAAATAAAATAAAAATAAATATTGGACCTTCTTATTGTTATATTAGTTCGGCCCATATATCGAAGCCCATGTTATCTGGGCTAATCAAAATCCAACATATGACTGTTTTAAGCTTAATTGAGTTATTACCGGGCTTTGAAATTTGTATTGGAGTTTCATTCGTGTATATATAACGAGTTGACCGTACGGACATCCCGGAAATCGAGGTCGGTCTGCACAGAAAAGAAAATCGGACTGAGTGCGGAAATAACACTCCGACAATCAAGTCAGTGGATATCGATATCTATTTGTGTAAGTAATTGAAAAGGTAGATTTTTCTTATACACGTAACCGAGTCCCCTTGTGAGTGGGATGGAATCTTCGTATCATATCGCCGTTTTTGCCTACTTTCCGCACGTCTCATGATAATTTTGACCATCTAAGACAGTCGCACCTTCGTGTCAAGACATTTAATGCGCATGCTGAAGCATTAAATACGCTTATCAGAGTAACAAATGCGCCTCCCCTCTCGTCATGATCCGAGCTCGGTATTAGCTCGTGAGGTCGTCGTTGTTTACGCAGTTTACAAAGATGGGCCTTCTAGTAGGACTATATATGGATGATATTTGATGTCCGAATTAATTGTTTTGTAATATATGTGAATTAAGAATTATAATTTTCAAATTTTGATCAAAATATTGCCGATTGAAATTCCAATCCAAATTTCGAACTTCTGATTTTCGATCTTTTATTCTTTTTGAACATAATTGAAATTATTTTTTTTCTTTCCGTAAATTATCGGGACACTTTCCCAAAACAAATAATTTTGATACGATCCGTCTGATTTCTACCCCTTTTACCTTAGTTATGTATTATGTATACATAAGAAAGGGTAAATTCCACTTTCCCCTTTGTATTTTGGCTAGATATCACTTTACTCCCTTGTACTCTCAATTGCATCGATTTGCCCCCTTGTACTTTGGTTCGATATCACCTTACCTCCTTCTACTCTCAATTCATCGATTTGCCCCCATGTACTTTGGCTCAATATCACTTTACCCCCTTCTACTCTCAATTGCATCAATTTGCCCTACGTACTTGAAAAATTGTCTGATTGTCTCAATGTGGCCCTCGCCGTTAGTTTTCAGACTTTTGACCTAACACCGTTTGATTTAAATCTGAAAATTACTAAAATGTCACCCCTCCAGTTTAAAAATAAATAAATAAATAAATAAATAAATAACAAAAAATAAAATAATAAAAAAATCAAGACAGCGAGAAAACATAGTCCACGACGCAGCCACATTTTTTTATTAATAATTATTTAAACTAGGAGGGGTGACATTTTTGTAATTTTCAAACTTAGATAAAAAAACGGTGTTAAGGTCAAAGGTTTGAAAACTAACGGCGAAGGCCACATTGAGACATTTTTTTAAGTACAGGGGGCAAATCGATGCAATTGAGAGTAGAAGAGGGTAAAGTGATATCAAACCAAAGTACAAGGGGGCAAATCGATGCAATTGAGAGTATAAGAGGGTAAAGTGATATCAAACCAAAGTACAAGGGGGCAAGTCGATGAATTGAGAGTATAAGGGGGTAAAGTGATATCGAACCAAAGTACAGGGGGTAAAGTGATATCCAGCGAAAGTAAAGGGTGGAAAGTGGAATTTACCCTATAATAAATATACAAAATTGTATTCTTAAAATATATTTTAATATTTTTTTTGACTAAATATATTTTAATATTACAGTTAATGTTTTTTTTTTTAATGTATTTACAGGCTTCTGATATTATTTACGAGGTTGTTTTAGATAGTTTCTTGTGATTCCTCCGTAGCCCCAAAATTTCTACCAAACCCTAACATTTCCAAATCCCCAAATCAGCTGATCAAACCCTAAAATTCACGATGGGGAAGAACGAATTCCTGACCCCAAAGGCGATCGCGAACCGAATCAAAGCAAAAGGTTTGCAGAAGCTCCGATGGTACTGCCAGATGTGCCAGAAGCAATGCCGGGACGAGAACGGATTCAAGTGCCATTGCATGAGCGAGTCCCACCAGCGCCAGATGCAGGTCTTCGGCCAGAACCCGACCCGGGTCGTCGACGGATACTCCGAGGAGTTCGAGACCTCCTTCCTCGAGCACATGAAGCGTAGCCACCGCTTCAGCCGCATCGCCGCCACCGTCGTCTACAACGAGTACATCGCCGACCGCCACCACGTCCACATGAACTCAACCCAGTGGGCCACCCTCACCGAGTTCATCAAGCACCTGGGCAAGTTGGGGAAGCTCAAGGTCGAAGAAACCCCCAAGGGTTGGTTCATCACCTACATCGATCGCGATTCCGAAACCTTGTTTAAGGAGAAGCTGAAGAGTAAGAGGATTAAGGCCGATATCGCCGACGAGGAGAAGCTGGAGAAGGAGATTCAGCGGCAAATCGAACGAGCCGAGCAGACGGTCGTCGCCGGGCCCGATAACGAGGCTGGAGAAAAAGACGAAACCAAATCAAGAATCCTGGAGAAGAATGACGGAGAGGGCGAGATTAAAATCAAGATGAGTTTGGGTAAGAAGAACGCCGAGATGATCGAGAAACGAGAATCTTCGAGGTTGTTGTTTGACGACGAGGAAAATAGTAATGGGAAACGGAAAAGGGAAGGCGAGAATTCGAATTCAAATTCGACGAAGAATGGATCGGTTCTTGATGAGATGATGAGAGAGGAGGAGAGATTAAAGGAGAGGAGTAATCGGAAGGACTATTGGCTATTTGAGGGGATTATCGTGAAGGTCATGAGTAAAGGTTTGATGGGTAAGGGGTATTACAAGCAGAAGGGGGTTGTGCGGAAAGTGATCGATAGGTATTTAGCGGAGATTGAGATGCTCGAGAATAAGCATCTTTTGAGAGTCGATCAGGAGGAATTGGAGACTGTGCTTCCTCAGATTGGTGGGCTTGTGAAGATTGTGAATGGGGCGTACCGTGGTGAAAATGCAAAGTTGGTTGCGATTGATACGGATAAGTTTTGTGCTAAGGTGGTGGTCGAGAAGGGGATATATGACGGAAGGGTTTTAAAGGCTGTTGAGTACGAAGATATATGCAAATTGGCGTAAGGATGTTTGTGTGAATCGTTGGTATTCGTCTATATATATTTCCTTTATATGGTGCTGATATCCGGTTTTTTTTGTCGAATGTTTGTGTTGTATGAAGTTTTTTATTGACTGGATTTGAAATCTTTCGGTCAAAGTCTTTTTTTTCGAATGCGATCTTGAGTAACTTGTTTGAGTTGTATCGATAATTGGTGGTAATTAGAACATGCTGGAATTGTTCTTTGATAATTTTAACTTGTTGCTCGACAGATTTATTTGGGTTTTGATGATTGATGGCAGAAAGCAAGTCTCGATTTTGTGTAGGTTTTAGTGCTGTTTCAGGGGACTGTGAGATAAATTGTAATATTATGTTGGCTATCCTCATTTCTGAATGGGATTTGGAGGGATGAATCTTTTTTTTTTTCCTTTCTAAATCGCCGGATTTAATGTAGGTCAATCGGCGAATATCACTCGTCGGATGACTTGAACTCGTGTGCAGTAACCTACTGCATTGCATAGTTTACCATCCCCTCAAGCGGGCTTTTACGGCGGTTTGGAGGCAGATAGCTAGTGCCCAATCTGGACCCACCCAATACTCCACTGACCTTCTTCCAGCCTCGGCCATCTGCCGCTTCTGCTGAACCCATCCCGCCGAAGCTCACTATCAAGTTGGTTTCGCCGTACTCTTCTCAGTTCTCGAATAAACAGGTCTTCATTTCCCCCTATTTTATTTACCCGTCTGAGTTAACTCGGTGTAATTTCCTCCCTGTTTTTGACGATTTGTCGCATTATTTCTAGTTTGTGTTTATGCTTTTATCAATTGGATTTATTAGGTCTTTATATTACCCAGTACCAGGATTGTATCATCATAAATCCGAAACATAAGACAATCACATAGTAAATTATTATGGACAGTGTGTAATCCTATCAAATTCAATTCAATCAATGTTATCAATCCCATCAATATTCCCAAACAAGGCCTTGATGTTCTTCTTATTTTCCTTATTATGGACTGAAAGTTGATTCCTGTTTTGATTGGTCCATTTTGCAATTCTCACTTTTGATTTTTATACGAATAACCACGAAAATTCACCCCCGGTGTGATGCATTTCTTTGTTTTAAACCTGTAGAATTTGTTAGCTATTTGCTGTGTCGTTTTCTTGTTCGACATTATAAATGTGTGGGATTTTTCTGCAAAACGTAAATCGATAATGAACAAAAAGTCCCTATGACTAAACTTGGATTTCCTCATTCCTTGTGAGTTTTCCTAAAAGCCTCGTCTGAAGAATGACGATAATTAGTGTAGCAGTGTTTTGTCTGAGTTTTCTTTTGTTTCTAACTTGCTCTGTTTTTTTCCTTTTCGCTGTGATTAATCTATGTGGAAGACCTCCACGTTTTTTCCTATACAATAATCCTGCTATATATGAAGCTGCACTTTCTGGTCTTTCGAAAATGCCTCTACAGCATCGCTTAAAGAACCTTGGTAGCCACACCGATTTGGTGAGGTGTCCACTTCATTGGCTGAACGTGGCGGTGATCTTTCCGTTTTTTTTTAAACTTGGTTATCACTCTCGTTTTATCTTATCGAACACATTCCTTGTACTTAGCTGATTCTTATATTGAAGGACTCCAATGCACAACTTTATATCTTATCAGTCACTTACTGAAATTGGAGTGGCTGGAACTTAGCATCCGATGAATAGTGCAAAAACGGTTCGAGTCTTTTTTGTCCAATTTCGTTCTTGAATTAGGCACTACTATCATTTATCATCTGCATTAAGCGACTCTTTTTTTTTTTTTTTTTTTGTAAAATATTGTTTAAGTGTGCCAGATTGCTAAAATGATTATTTGGTGCTTAGAAGCATCCGATAAAAGATGGAAAAATGCTTCGAGTGCATTTGTCCAATCATCAATGCATAAATATTAGCTTCTTCATTCTTGAATTAGGCACTATTATTTTCATTTTTAAGTCTCTGTCTTCTTCCGTCGAACATCTTTAGTAGTGACAGGTTGCCGAAATGTGTGTTATAAAATCTGGAAATCGAAATCAATAATTATGGAATATATTGTGCCAATTTAAGGTAGACATGGTTACGGTACCTTCCACAACAGGCCAGACGGGAATCCTCCCTGGACACCTGGCATCAATATCGGAGCTAAAACCGAGCCTGGTTTCCATACACGAGGGCAATGAAGTCACTAATTACTTCATCAGCACTGGATTTGCCTTTGTCCATTCAAATTCAATTGCTGATGTCATCGCAGTTGAGACTGTTCCGACTGAGCACGTGGACCCCGTTTCTGTCCGAAACGGAATCTTGGAATATACTCGGAAGATGAACACAGGTGTGGACTGATATGGAGAAATTTGAAGCCCAAATAGATTTGGATGTTTTAAATTCTTTAAGTTCTTCTCTTTCATTACAGTCCCATTTGATTATTAATAATCTGTTTGAAATTATAAATACATATATGAAGTTATTTAGAATCCGTATGTAAATCTTCGTCTCGAATCCAGACTTTTTTTCGAATGTACTATTGATTCGTTTTTCCCTCTCAAGTCTTGACTGCAAGAAAAGGGCTAATGCCAGATAGCTGTTATTTTTCCGAGTTGTTGTGGCGATTTTTGACCCGAATATTTATTTTGAATGCGTGCAGGTGTGACAGCGTTCGAATATATATGAAAAATGAAGTAAAAATAAGGTATAAGTTTTAAAATTAATTGTTGTGGCAATCTTTTTTCCGAATATTTGCTTTGAATGTGTACATATGTGTGATCGTATTCGAATTTATACCGAAAAAAATTTATTCTATTTTAAAATTAGTCTATGGAAACTTGAATAATTCAATTTTAGAAAAATAAAATATAATAAATAAATAAAATAAGTTAAATGTTTTTTATGCATTTGCTCTTTCCAGCTACCCAAAACGTTTTTCTTGCATGATCACTAGGTGGCAAAGTAGTTGGGCACAAGTAAAAGTGAGCTTGGCCTAAGTAAATTGAAAAGTACATAAATTAACTTAGGGTAAATTACAAACACCCCCCCCAGGTATGTTTAATTTACGAAAAAACTCCTCTTGTTTGGATAATTACATTTACCCCTCAACTATGATTTTTTCTTACACTTCCACCCTTATGGTGTTCAATTCAACATAATCATCTATATTTCGTGGTATGCTCTATTTTGTACTCGTTTTGTGTAAAAAAATACAGTTTCTGATGCACTACAATCTCATGTATACAAGCCAAAAAACAAATATTATGATCATGTTGCTTCAAAATGTAGAGTTCGATGGGATAAAATGGGTATAAAGTGATAATATTCCATATAATCTCGAAGATTTCACTAAATTTGAGGAGTTGAGGGGTGGTTGTAATTATCCAAACAAGAGGGTGGTTTCGTAATTTGACCATACCTCAGGGGTGATTGTAATTTACCCAACTTATTATTTATTTTTCACACAAATATTGCAGTAAAATGAATAATATAATTTGAGTATCTAAATTATTACTGAAAATTACTGTCTTCAAATTATGAAAAAATCTCTTATGTTGGATAATTACAAATAACCCCCTCAACTAGGTATTGTTTTACAAAAAAATCCCTTATTGAGTATGTAAATTTGACACCGTGAGGGTGGACGCATAAAAAAATGAGGGATGGTTGTAATTACCTAAACACGAGAGGGTTTTTCGTAATTTGAGCATACATCAGGGGTTGGCCGTAATTTGCACCAATTAATATTTCAATACACCTCACAATCTGCCTTTCAGTCCAAATACTTGTATCACATGTTTTTTGTATTGAAAAAAAAATAAGCAATATTTAAATATTTATGTATTAAATACTTTTGACTTTTTCAGTATATACCAAATCGGGTGACAACTCCAACCAATAGAATTTAAAATAATTAAATAAAAGTGATGACATACATAATCACACTTAATGAATTAAACAACACTTTACCAACCATCAAATGGCCCACATAACATGATCATGACTCAATTCCGAGTTAGCACTCAATTAAAAAAAACTCAAAAATATTATTATATGACTTTCTTGCAAGACCTAATTCTGATTTTCTTCTTTAATTTATACATTATTTATATTTCTAATACACATGTTTAATAATGGAAGAACATCATTAGTTAACTAATATTGATAATGACAATAAATAAACTTATTACATACATACTGCAGGTGTACTTGTAAAAACTTATTTAAAAGTAGAAGTTATGAATTATGAGTTAAGTTGGTTTAAATGCTTATTTTTAGAAGTTGAAGGTGTTTGTAAATTTGCTGGAAAATCAATTTAAATAGAAAATACAGGATCATGAGTGCGTTACAAATTATAAGTTAAATCTGCTTATTTTACGAAAAGTAAAAGTTCAAATTTTGCAAACACCACCTTACATTGAATATATACGGCTTATTCACTTATGCAAACAAAGGTGGTATTTGCAAAAAAGAATTTAGGTGTTTGCAAGATGAACATTCATTTTTGTTTCTCTTAAAATAAATTGTTTTACACTATAATTTGTAAAACGCAATTGAATCTTGTTTTTTTTTTTATTTAATTTGATTTTCTAGCAAATATCTAAACACCTTCAACTTAAGAAATAAACTTTACTCACACTCCATAACTTTTACTTTTAAATAAATTTTTGCGAACACAACGAAATAGTATGAAATATTTGTACTAAATACAAAGTGCATTTGTTTCAATACACGTGATATGACTGATACAATATAAATTTCTTTTGACGAAAATATGAACATGATATTATTATTATTTTATTTTGCTGAGAAAATATATTTTCCCAAAACAAAATAAAATTATGACTGAAATTTATTGACAAAAGAAGGTTTCCCCTTTTTCCCAATATTCTAAGCAAGATTCATTCAAACTTTGGAGAAACCTTCTCTTGTGGTCCATTTTGCCTTTAGTCATCATTTGACAAATTTTATTTATTTCTCTATTATTTTTATTTTCTTATTTTTTGTATCACTCGTTGTTTTTCCAAGAAATATAATAAAATTGTCGATATGACAGGTGGCAAAAGATTTATGTCACATGCTTCAAAGTCTTGTTTATCATTAATTCACAATTAATCATGCATTAAAGAATCATTACGTGCAGCCCGGGTATAATTTAATTAATTATATTCTCTCTTATTTTCATAATTAAAATATAATTTTTTTTTATTTAATTTAAAATCTGATCAACCCCTAATAGTGTTAGGCCTCGTTTGCTTAGTGCTATTAATCTCTATTAACTAAATAGTAGGGGTTAGTAAGATGTTTGATTAATGAGATTCGTATTTAGTCAAGTCCCACTACTACACTCAAAGCCCGCAATTAAGTGCTATTATTTGATTAAATTAGTAGCACATCTCCCTCTGCGATTAATTTTGTAGGGGTAATTAAAAGAGGAAAATACAATTTTATCCTTAAAACAATATCTTAATTTTTTTAATTAAAATACTTTTTAGACAATTCACATTAAATACCAAAATTTAACAAATTTAATACAAGGTTTAGTCTAACGAATCAAACATCTTACTGACTAAATAATTAATTAGTCAGTTCAATATTAATCCAATCTCACATAATCCAATGTAATCCGATATAGGTAAGCAAACGAGGCCTTATTTAACTCCAATTTAGGTTTATATTTAATCATATTCACTAATCGAAATTCAGACACCCGAATTAGAGTCTGGATCTACACCAATAATTGAGTCGGGCGTAATGCTAACGTGCACCAGCTAATCGTAACCGTACACGTCATTGACCTAGAAAACGGTGACGCATCCCAACAAAGTATAACGATAACACCCGCCTGACCGAGAGCCACGTAAGCATCTCGGAGTAATTATTGCCTGCTTCGCTGGAAACTCCTGGGACGTATATTTATTTATTTATTTATTTGGTGTGAGAATATATTATTCTAGAATATTATAGTTAGCTGCCCGCGGGCAGAACGGGCAGGGGAGACAAATGACAGTGGCTGAGGAATCTGGGCCCAAATCGGTCCTTAAGGTGGGACCCACGTTTTGGTGTGAAAGGGGTGTGGGGCCCACTCCACGCAGCTCCAAGGTGGCGTGATTGAGAAAGGCCAAAAAGTGTGGGGACTCCAATGAAATTATGGAACTTTTTGGGGGTTGTCGTGATCGTTATGACGTGGTTTTAGTGGTTTTGCTTTACCCTTCTCTTTTTTTTTTTTTTTTTTTTTTCGAAAAGTGTAATGTAAACTCCGTTTTATGGCCATGTCATAATTTTGTGAAATATTATAAACTTTAAAATATATGTGATTAAAAAATAAAATTTCTTATTTCGCCGATTGGTATGGTACCAATTTTTTTTTCTTAATTTTGGGAAAAAAAAAAAATGGGGAAACACACAAATTTCATCCCTCACGTTTTCACCAATTTCACATTTGGTCATCCATGTTCGCAAAAAACACATTTGGTCCTTCATGTTTAAAAAATTCAACAATTTCAGTCATTTTCGTTAATTTTCTATTAGTAATAACGAATCAAGCATCGTGTTCAACACCGTCTTAACTGACAGAGTAACGATAAATTGACGGAAATGAGCCAACTGTTAAATTATTACAACATGAGGGACCAAATGTTTGTTTTATAAACATTAGGGACCAAATATGAAATCAGTGCTGTAATTTATTTCAAAAAAAATATATATATTTAAAACAAATTCTAATTTTGTGTGTGTGTGTGTGAGAGAGAGAGAGAGAGAATATTCCTCCGATAAGCCCAACAGACGCAAATACCCCTCTGCCACAAGATTCAGCCCCTTGGATTTGGGAGAAACTGCTACTGTTTTTTTGCTTCTTTTTTTAATTCACTAATTTAATCATTAAATAATTAAAAAAAAAAAAAACCATTTTCTTGCACAGCAATTAAACCCAAAGTGGGGTTTCAACTTTCAACCAATCAGAACCTGTCAAATGCCAACTTGCTCAATAATTCCGATTAGTTAATATCACTGGTCTTTGTGGTCCGCGTAACACCCAATAATTCCCCACCCCCACCGGCCTGCTTTTTCCCTATATAAACCACCCACCCCCTATACCAATATCTCTCTCTCTTTTTCTCTCTCTACAATCACAGTTCTTCAATCTCATATATTTTTCGTATACAAAAAATCCACCACCGCTCTCCGCCGCCGTCAACCACCAATTCCTCCGCCGTCTTCGAATTAAGGGTATGGGCTCATCGGCGTACTACTCCGGCTGCGAATACGACGATTACGAACCCCATTTTCTCGATTGCTGCTCCCTCTGCCGACGACCACTCAGCCAAAACAACGATATCTTCATGTACAGGTCAGCCCTAAAATTCATCTTCTTCAATTTTTTTTTTAAATTTTTGTGGATCTGGATTTTGAAAATTGAAATAATTTAATTTTGCAGAGGGGATACGCCGTTCTGTAGCCAAGATTGCAGGCAAGAACAGATTGAAATCGACGAAGCGAGTGAGAAGAAAATGAAGCAGCTTTCTTCTTCGTCGAAGAGATCTAACTCGGCGAGACAAACAACCTCGGAATCTGCTAAAGAATACGATGCCGGTAAATCTGTACGGAACGGCACGGTGGCCGTGGCTTAGAAATTTCCCAAAATAAAAAAACAAATCTTTTTTGTCGAGAACAAAAAAAATGGATTGGAAAATAGTTTGATCTGTTGAAGAAAAAGAAAAAAAAAAAAGTGGGGAGAAGGAGGAGGAGAAGAGAGGGTACATCCCTACAATTTTGATTTTTTTTTTTTTTTAATTACTATTTTACATTTGTGATTTTCTTTTTTTCTTTTTCTTTTTTCTTTTTAATTTCTTGAAAATGGCATCTCGATATTGTCAATATGATAAAGAGGATTGAGTTGTCTTCTAATTGAGATGCCATTAGATGTAAATCTTTGTTCATGTAATGGAATTCTCAAATAGTTAAAAAAAAAAAAATTAGCATTATCTTTTCATTTTCTTTTATTTCTTGAGAATTATGACAAATGATATTCCTTATTTCGAATTGGTAAAAATAATAAATAATTAAAGTATCATAATTATTGTATGTAAGTTTATGCGTTTGATTTTAGTCAAGAATAATAATATTTTTTACACTATTATTCTTGGTGTCAAAATAAACAGAATCTTCTCGACTTAGTATGTATTTATTTTGCGCAAAAATGCAGTTATTTATGTATCACAATCTGATATTTAAAACCAAAAAATACATGTTATGACTTATGATCATCTTATTTAAAATATGGAGCTCGAATGAGTAAAACGAGTATATAAGTTGGAAAATATTTCACTTGCACTAAATTTGAGACCGCGATAATGGACAACTATGAGATAGAATGTCGTTGGCTCTAGCTCTAATGAATTTAGCAACACTTATTATTCCTATCTCCTCAATTTAATTACAGGATTATTTATTTATCTTTTTATTTTTTTTTGAGATAAATAAAACATTAATTAGTTCATGTTGCATAGTGTTTTGATCCACTATTGATGGGCCAGCCCGTATTGATATGTCCAACCAAGAGCAAATTAGGCTCACTCTCAATTTGTGCAGCACCGATACGAAAACAACGATACAGAGAAACGAGGAAACAAAAACTTGGGGAAATTGATAACTATTAAAAGTACAAGGGTATATTTATAAAATATGTTATTTAAACATATATAAGATTTTATTTATGTATTATTTTTATATATTTCCATACAAATATATTGAAAATAAATATTATTGTTAACTATCAATTGACAATTGATCGTTATATCTTGTAAATTAATAGGGACATAACAAAAAAAAAAAAAGGAAATTCACTATTCAAATATGTTTCTAACTTTTCGGAAATTACAAAATGATAAATAAGGTGTCCGACAGGTATCCTCGAGCGTCGGCTCTCAGTAATAAATCCTTATTTTAAAAGTAAATTAAAATTAGGGCTTTTCAGCTGAAATTTGAAGCCCAGAGGATTATATTTTGAGGCCCAATTTTGCTTTCAAAAAATGTAAAGCACAATACTCCAAACGTTAACGGTAACGAAATGCAGCCGTAAAAAGCCCAAAAGTAAACCCTTCCGAGACGCCGTTCGTCGGAGTCCCCCATTTCCGACGTAATCTCCGGCGTAAATCCGGATGTCTGCAGCTGTGCGCCGTCTGCACAGAAATCTCAGAATCCGCCATTCTCCTTACCCTCCATTGCTCCACCTAAGCTCAGAAACCCGATTCTTTTGTCACCAGTTGATTCAATTTGCTTGCTTCAACTGCTCGAACTCGCCCGGTGTTGCTCCAGAATCCGATTTTCTCGCGCAGTTTTCTCCTCTCAGCACCGATTGCTCCGACAACGTGATTAATTCAAATGAGAGACGCAGGCTCGCCGTCGGAATTTCAACGATTATCAAAGCGGAGAGAGGATATCTTCTCCGCGAATTTTCCGGTAATTTCTGCCCATTCAGCCTCGTAAAGATCATGAAAGCCCTAGTTAATCGTGATGTTGCTTTTGCATTTTTCAAATATGTATTCCGCGATCATTCCGATGGTGTAGTCCGCCATTGTTGTGTTTTAGTGCACTCATTAGTGCCCGAAGAGTCGAGGTATTTAGCGCAAGATGTGCTGACTTGGGTTATTCAGGAAATAGGTGAAGAAAGGAGTTACAATACTGTGTGGAGGGACTATTACAGTAACACGTTCGATTTTTTCGTTCTCGATACTCTAATGCGTTCTTTCACAAACACGAAAATGGCATCTCCTGCATTGGAGGTTCTCGATAGGATGAGACAAGTTGGTGGTCGGCCGAGTGTATCTGCAGTTTGTGTTCTGTTTAAATTATTGCTTATGCTTGGCGATTTTAGTCGTGTGTGGAAGTTATTTAGAGATATGGTTCGTAAAGGACCTATACCTTCGATATATGTCTACAATATGATGGTTCTTGGATTTTGTAGGCAGGGATGCATTAGTATTGGAGAAAGTTTATTGTGTGTGATGGGGAAGTACGGCTGCGAACCCGATGTGCATACATATAATATCTTGATCAATGCTTATTGCGTTAGAGGGTGGAGCTGGGATGCGTTGGATTGGGTGGATGTGATGGTTGAAAACGGTTGCAAACCGAGCTCCGCTACGTTTAGTACAGTCATCAACGCGTTTTGCAAGGAGGGTAATATCGTCAAAGCAAGAAATGTCTTTGACGGTATGCAGGAAATGGGTGTTTTTCCAAACACGGTATTGTACAATGCTTTGATGGATGGTTATGTTAAGGCGAGAGAAATAGGTCTAGCAAATATGCTTTACGAGAAGATGAGGAGAAACGGTGTGGTCCCCGATAGTGTAACTTTTAACATTTTATCCTGGGGTCATTACAAGTATGGCAAGGTGGAGGATGGTGACAGGTTATTAAGGAACATGTCGGTGCTGGAATTAGTACCGGATCGTTCGTTGTCTGATGTATCTATTGGAAGACTATGTTGGGCGGGAAGATTAGACGAAGCTTTCGAGTTATTGGAGCATATGCTAGAGAAAGGGATTCATCTTAGTGTAATTGCGTTCAACTCCTTAATCGTTGCTTATGGCAAAGCGGGGTTAGATGACAAAGCTTTCGAAGTCTATAACGTCATGGTGAAATTCGGTGTTTCTCCTTCGGCTTCGACGTGTTCTTCACTTCTTTTAGGTCTATCTAAAACCGGAAGGCTCGAAGAAGCCAACTCACTTATACACAACATGATTAAACAGGGGTATCCAGTAAGTAAAGTGGCTTTTACCGTGGTTCTTGATGGATATTTCAAGAAAGGCGATATGATGAGAGCTCATGATCTGTGGCAAGAAATGGAGTCCATGGGGGTGGCCCCCGATGCCGTTGCCTTTTCTGCTTTTATTGACGGGCTTTCTAAAGGAGGGTTTGTCGAGAAGGCGTATGACATGTTCTTGAAAATGACGAGCAAAGGTCTTCTGCCGAATAACTTTGCTTACAATTCTTTGATTTCTGGATTTTGCAACTGCGGGAATCTAGACGAAGCTTGGAAGTTGGAGATGGAGATGAGGGAGAAGGGTTTAATACCAGATTTAATCACCTTCAACATTATTATCAAAGGGTTTTGTAGACAGGGGAGGATGACATCAGCGATGAATACTTACATAGATATGCACAGGAATGGATTCATAGCAGATACCGTGACTTACAACACTTTGATCAGTGGATTCTGTAAGCAGTTCGATATGTTGAATGCTGAAAACTGGGCTAACAGAATGGAGTCCAGTGGGTGGGGCCCGGATGTAATAACCTACAACACGCAGATTCACGGCTACTGCCGAAGCAAGAGAATGAATCAGGCTATAATGATGTTCGATGATCTTATTTCTTCCGGAATTGTTCCCGACACAGTCACCTACAATACTCTGATGAATGGTATATGTCATGATATACTGGATCGTGCGATGATCTTGACAGCAAAACTGCTCAAGATTTCCTTTGTTCCTGATTTAGTTACGATTAACTTACTGCTATCTAATCTGCGCAAGCAAGGGCTACCGCAGAAGACAGTGACATGGTTTCACAAGTTGAGGGAGATTGAGTTTGAGTTCGATGAGATAACATGTAAGATTTTGGACAAAGCGGATCGGGATTTAGAAGAAGATGTTGGATGTAAAGAAGAAATAACGGGGAATATTCCGTTTGTAGACTTCCTAATGTACATTACGTATGATTTTATATACAGAAACAGGGTTCGTCATAAATCAGATTTTGACCCTTCGGAATTTACCGATAACCGTTCCAGCACTAATGGGGAAGCAATCAACAGATGAGTGTATGGAATTATTTTGCATGGAAGTTTTTATGTTGGCTAAACACGAGACTTCTCCGGAAGACCCTGTCAGAATTCGGACCGCCTGGATAAGAATCTAGAAGTCGGATTTCAAATAAAAAAACGAGGCTGAAATACCGTTTCGGGAATTTAATGGTGGAAAGGTACTTTCCCATTTGAGCATTACGTGTTTGTCGCGTATGGTGAAGAAAGCAGTAACTAAGAAGATTAACAGACTCAACTTTCCCACTATTACCAGGTACTACACCGTTGTAATTATCACTGTTGATATTCTGTTACAACCATCTGATTGCTATTTTATTTTTAACTTATTTTATTGCATTTGACATGTCTGATTTCCGTTTCGTTTCTTCTATTCTTTTGCGTATCACCTAGATTGCAAAAAGGGTAAACCGCACCTACCTCCCACTATCGGCCAACTTAGCAATCTTACGAGCAAGTACTGATTTTCAAGTCTCGGTTCGATTTTCGTGCAGAATTTTCGACTATGGGCAGGATTCATATTGATTTATCCAATCCAATCCAGTACTTTCTGCTTCGTGTGCCTGTAAATACCCGATGTCAGCTGCTGACGAGATACGCATTTTGTAGCCTAAAGCTGAGTGACAAAATTAGTGTCTTTTTTTTTCCATAATAATTATATTTGTGGAGTAGTGGAGTTTTTTGTGCTAGCTTTTATTAAGACAGGGACCATAACCGTAGATTAGAGATAATACAGGGGTAGTAATTGAAATTATCTCGTTTCTTGATAGCAGAAAAAAGCACATGATCAACTTCGATTTTGATTTTAACAGAGAAACAGACTACTGTTTGCGTGTAAGATAATGTGTGAGGAGTGAGAATATTAATTAGCTATATATATATATATGAATTCTTAGTGCATAAAAGAGGAAAAAAATTGATTAAATGCATGTAACTGTGTCTTACCTGTAACAATTTATTATTCTAATTATTAATAATATCACTTGTACTATTTCTGCAAAAACTTCAACTTTCAACACATTTGAAATGATGAAAGATCTCTCTCTCTCTCTCTCTCTCTCTCTCTCTCTCTCTCTCTCTCTCTCTCTCTCTCTCTCTCTCTCTCTCTCCATTAGGGATGTAAACCGGAAGTGAAATGAAATTTTTGGAAAATCTTCCGATTTACGATTCGAAAAGTATCGATTTGGAAACATTTTATTCCAAATTTCCGAATC